ATAGGAATGCCCTAATGATTTTTTTCTACCGTAAAAGTTGAAGTACTTAAAATAAAAAAAAGTTTCAAGCTTAATGCTAAAACATATCAGCTTCACCTTGGTAAAAATCAAGTGGGACAAGTCCAGTGTAACACACAAAAAAAAACCAAGACATCTGTATTTAATTACTTCTGCCTACAGTAACTATAATAATTACATTGTATCAAATAAACTTGCTTTGGATCGCTACAACATCTCTTTCCTAAACTTGTAAAGCAGATGTAGTTATTACGTTACACCTAAATATCACGGATACTCCGATCTGTCGAGAAGCTTACCAATAACTTTGAAGTGTTTCTGAGAGAACACAATTTCATCCTTTCCTTAAGGTAGCAGTGGAGTCGCCATGTAAGACAATAGAAGCCTAATATGTTGGCTCAAAGTCTTGGCCAACCACCTGTCATGTTGGATCAACCCACCTCCCCTAACCAAGTCCTGCTAGGTTGTCCGTTATGATGAGCATCAATCATTAGTCACTGCCTATGCTTGGAAGAAAACTGCCACCATGGGGCTTATTCCATAACAGGAGGAAGAGGAGGGGGGGGGTGCAACCAATCGCAGGTCAGCTTTCAGCGGAAAGCTAAACTAAATTTGATTACTAAGGTTAATGCTTTGCCCTTTGTACTGTTACTGAATACGCCAATGACTTTCCAGTTGCCATCAAACCCTCATCATGTGTTCCCAACCAAACAGAAAATAACAAAGGATAAATTAGGGAACAGGACTGGGAACACGGAGCATGCACCAGGTGACATCAAGCCATTCAGATGATTTTGACATTTAAGTTTGCGTGTTTCCATGGAACATTTACGTTTCTTTGATACAGTGCTCAGTAACTTAACTTAAGTGATCCCCCATCTGTCAATAGGAAACATTGTTATGGGAGGTAGGAAAAAAAAAGTTTGGGGGAAGCAGGCAACATAAAAAAAAGCATTCTTGTTCTAAAATGTAACATCAGATGCTGTTGATGGAATACTGTACTCTATGCATAGCAGAATACCAACTCCCAGGGGTGCACAAACGGATTCAAAGGGCCAGTTAGCCTAACCCAAGAGCAATTAAACAATTTTAAGTGCCCAGAGAATTGGTGATTCCAAAAAAGGCTCGAAACCAGACATAGCAATTGTAATAATTTTAATCCCAACGGTTACCCTGGCTCCCAAGGCTTGTCCAGCTCTGTGATTACACCAGTGGTGACAAAAGGTTGAAGTGTCAAAGAAAATGTTCACTATAAAACACAGAAAAGCTTCATATACCATGGATCAGCCCCCCACCCCCCATACACACAAGAATATTTTTAAAACTCGAAAATTAAAGAAGTATTACTCTTACAATAGAACTTGACCACCTTGCCCAAAAAGCTTGAAATTTGATATCAATATATATATTAATTAAATTAGAGTATATATTTATACACAAACCCACACAAATAAAAATAGCTATAGCTTGAACTCGATGGACTTTTCAACCTATGTAACTATTTTTATGGACTCAGGAATCATGCATTTCTACAGACAAAAGCATTGATGAGAATTATAAGATATACATTGGTCTATAAAGGAGCTACTTGTACAAAATATACTTTGTATCCTGTACTTAACACTATAGTGGCACTATAGCTGGAAGCCCAGAAAGTTTCCAAATACAGACCCAACAAGAAAAAAAAATTAAAAATTTGAAATGAGGACACAGACATAGTTTGAAACCTTAAAGGGATATTGCTAGAGTGAGAGTTTCTAAATATATATTTTTAGATTATGAGTAAAGATCAAAAGGCACAGGCATTCAGCCACATATTCGACCCTGCACTTTTTACATTTAATTAATAACTTCCCAAATGATCAATGGCTTCCCAAAGTGGGCCAGGAAATGTTAAAAACTGGAGAAAAACCTCAAAAAAGGAGCTACAGAAGTCACAAAAAAAAGAAAAAAGGATAGTTGACCTAACCTGTCTAAAACACACAACACACCGGCCTCAAATCGAAGTTGGAACAAGCTTATGATTTTTTTAAGGAAAAAAAAAAAAGTAATCTAGTAATAGCATCTGCTCTACAAGAATTTAGTTTTCGTAAAGTCTTAACCAAAACAAACTACTGTTTCAGTCCACAACAATAGCGAATAGTATTTCCAGGCTGAGGGACAAAAGTTATAATAAAAACACTAGCCTCCGAGCCGTTCAAATATTTACAACTTCTGGCACTTTTAATGGATGAACCTGTCTCGACAGGTACTTTGACACCTGGCGTTCCAACCGGATTGCTGATTCATCCGTGTGCCGACAAATTAACCAAGGACCGTCTCGAGTGTAATATTATAGCATTATAATAATAAAAAAATAAATATAAAGAAAATGCTACTTTATAATATATTGGCAT